TACCGGGCAAGGTCATTTTTTAATGGGCAAGGTAGTTTTTTTGCTGGGCAAGATCGTTCGGTCCAAAAAAACGACCTTGCCCAGTAAACAATGACCTTGACCAGTAACATTTTTACTGGGCAAGGTGATTTTTTTTACTGGGCAGGTCATTTTTTCTGGGCAAGGTCATTTTTTTACTGGGCAAGGTCATCTTTTAGTGGGCAAGGACATTTTTTTACTGGGCAAGGTCATTTCTTTACTGGGCAAGGCCGTGCCATGAGTGAAATATGTTCTTGATGTTGTGGGATTCTTTGGGCGGATGGTTATTTTTCTGGAGTAATTTCTTGACTAGTGAATGCTTGGACTTGAAATGCTGAACCCTAAACCCTAAACCCTAAACCCTAAACCCTAAACTCTAAACCCTAAACCCTAAACCCTACTGCTGCCACAATTGAGAATTGAGATGGGACATCCCAAGGTTGCGCCCAGCGACCTGCAGTACTCCTTATTGAGGACAGCTCCTTAAACCACACTCTCCCTCTCCCTGTTTAGGGTTTAGGGTTTAGGGTTTAGGGTTTAGGGTTTAGGGTTTAGGGTTTAGGGTTTAGGGTTTAGGGTCCATGTACCTATATAGTACATACTTGGGCCTTAAAGGGCTTCCCATATAGAAGCTCTAGGGCCCAAATATATACTATATAGGTACATGGACCCTAAGGGATTCAAACTCTCCCTCTTCCTAAGGGTCCATGTGCCCAGATAGGGAAGACTTGGGCCTTAGAGTATTTCCGAATAGGGAGGGACCCCAGGCCCCAAGTAGAATAATTAGGTACATGGACCCTTAGGGTCCGTCAGTTTAGCGGAAAACCCTCACGTAACCCCCCCACCCCAGGTGCCTAAACCCTAACCCCAAACCCTGAACCCTACAGCCTACACCCTAAAGCCGCTAAAGCCAGCCACAAAAATGCCACGTGATCGAGTGATGGAGAACGTGGCATAACGTGGCGTGGCAAGCGCAGTGAACTCTAAATCCTAAACCCTAAACCGTAAACCCTGGAGGGGCGCTAGCGAACTTTTGACGGTTTAAGGCTTTAGGCTACTGAGGACTAGGCGCTTTGGGGGTGGACGGGCTTAGGGGGTTGGTTGGGGTGTTACGGGTTCGGGCTTAGTCTAGGGCTTTAGTGGTTTTAGGGAGGCTGGTGGTTTCATGGCTCATCGTCCGGGCCCGTCCTTCACAAACTCCACACACACGGTGAGGCTGCCATCCGGCGCAAGTTGCGTCCTTGGGGCTTCCACGCGAGGACGCTGGCATGAGATCCCTCAACCCTATAAGGCCCTAAACCCTGGTTTAGGGTTTAGGGTTTTTTAGGGTTTAGGTTTAGGGTTTAGGGTTAAACCCTGAACCCAAAATGAACCCAAAACCCGAAACCCCGAACCGCAGTTAATAGGAACCACAAAAACCCACATGATGATTTCTCAACATGCTATTCATCCAAAATGTGTCGCACAATGCGTGTACTTTGGGGGGCCACCTCATGTCCACGATGAAAATATGTCATGAGCACGATTCGGGTTTAGGGTTTAGGTTTAGGGCTTTTAACCGTATCCCGAAGGATCCTTATGTTTATGTAATTTGTGGGCCCCTATGTCAAGGAACCCTCAACCCTATAAACCTTAAACCCTAAAAGAAGGATGGAGCTTTGCAGGGTGCTTGTTGTTCCTTCCACCTGCCTCTGCCTGGACTCGGCCCACTGGCGCTCTGTAGCGGTTTTCGTGCGAAAGTGCATTTGGGGTTTAGGGTTAGGGTTTAGGGTTTAGGGTTTAGGGTTTAGGGTTTAGGGTTTAGGGTTTAGGGTTTAGGGTTTAGGGTTTAGGGTTTAGGGTTTAGGGTTTAGGGTTTAGGGTCTGAAAAAGTCGAAGCGAGAGCCCTAAACCCCAGCTGGGCCTACACCCTTCGCTGCAACGATGAAGAAACATCGCAAAACCCGTCAGAATGTGGGTTCTCCAAATTGAGTACGGCACCCTTTAAAGGGACCCCGACAAAAATGAACCCCAATTGAGAAAGCTACCCTAAAGCCAACAACCTAAAACCCAAAAGGGGCCCAAACAGAGTCTTTGTAGATACATCTCTCCAAACACCTTTTTCAAAGCTCTCCACCCTAAAAACGCCTCAAACTTGCCTAAACCTTGAACTGAAACCCTAAACCGCTACACCCTAAGCCCGAACCCCACAGCCTGCAAGCCTCTGGTTAAACCGTCCCGCGAAAGGAACCTTCGCATGAGAGCTTAGGGTTTTGGGTTGAGGGTTTTGGGCTTAGGGTTTGGGAAAATAATTCAGGGCGAAGGATGAGGAACAAAAAAAAACTAAAATCCTAAGCCCTGCATGCGGACCTTACAAACCCGAAGCCCTACACCTTACCCGGAGGGTCCATGTACGTAGGGAATGCCTTAATACTTGCTGTATAGGGACTGTGGGGCCCATGTATATAAACATGAGGTACAGGCACAACCCTAAACCCTAAACCCCAAACAGTGAACCTAAAACCCTAACCCCAAGCAACACTTAAACACTGGGCGCCGTGCAGCCAGTCAACCCCGAAGTCGTCGCAACCGCTCACGGTGCTCCTTTTTGAGAATGAGCAGGGTTCAGGGTTTAGGGTTTAAGGGGTTTAGGGGGTTTAGGGCTTAGGGTTCAGGGTTTCATGTTTATCAAGTTTAGGATTTAGGGTTTAGTGTTTGGGGAGGGGGTTTAGGGTTTTGCGGGTTTTCGGGGGTTTGGGTGCTTCAGGGTTTAGGGTTTTCTTGAATTTTAGAGTTTTAGGCTTTTTGGGCTTTAGGATTCTTTGGTTTAGGGCTGCTTGGTTTGGGGGCCTGAAGAGTACTTCTCATCAGGGGACCTGGCGGCTCAAGTATATAGTATTGAGGTACCCTGAACTGTTTAACCCAAGGGTGTAGCGGTTTTAGGGTTTTAGGGTTTAGGGTTTAGGGTTTTAGGGTTTAGGGTTTAGGGTTTAGGGTTTAGGGGTTAGGGTTTAGCAAAGTGTCGAGGTACATAAACCCTTAGGGGCGTACCGTGTCTGGATGGGGCCAGTTGCAGGCAAAGCAGAGTCTCTTGGAACATGCCCTCGCAGTGTGTCAGCCCCATGGCATGCTGAACCCTAAACTTGGTTCCCTCCTTGTACTAACAGCCCTTAATCGGGTTTAGGGTTTAGGGTTTAGGGTTTAGGTTATAGTACCCTCTATTAGAATCACTAGTAAGGACTGTTAGTATACGGGGGACATCTCAACCCTAAACCCTGTGATGTAAATCCTAATAGAAATCAAAACCAATAATAGAATGTAGTATACATCTATATATACACACATAAATACATACATACACATATATATACACACACACCCTACAAACGCTGTGATCAACCACCCTATCAAAAACCTTAGAAAGCCCCAAAACCCGAATTGAATCCCCCCCCCCCAACAACAACAACCCTAAAAACCCTCTTAGCAAACCAACCCCAAGAAACCCATATAAAAACCCTAACCCCCCTGTATCCTAAACCCTAAACCTAAACCCTGAATCAACGCCATTAGAAACCCGAAAAACCCGATCCGAACCCCCGAAAATCCCGAGTAGAAAGCCCTAAATAAGCCATATTCGCAAAACCCTAAAACCCTGAACCCTGAACTCTAAACCCCAAAACCCCTCTTGGAAAACCCCAATTGCCAAAAGCACTGTTAGCAAACCCGAAAAAGCCGTCTGTGGCAAAACCATAAACCTTACAAGCACAACCCTAGAATAAGCCGACTAGCAAAACCCAAAACCCTGTTAGACAAACCCAAAAACCCTATTTTAAACAAGACTAACTGAACTACGGTTTGCTTAGGACCCCCCAAAGGTATAAAATCATGATCCCTACATTGACCTTATAAGGAACAATATCCTTTCTATTTTTGCGGGGTTCTTAAAGCAATTCGTAGTGAATCCTATAGACCCTGAAATCTCAATCCTAAACCCTAAACCCTAAACCCTGAACCCTGAACCCTAAACCCTGAACCCTAAACCCTAAACCCTAAACCCTGAACCCTAAACCCTAAACCCTAAACCCTAAACCCTAAACCCTAAACCCTAAACCCTAAACCCTATAGAGCCTGACACCCTGAACCGCCCCGGCTCTGAGATCTGAGCTCGGCGAAGTTGCGCTTGAAAGGCCCTTTGCGGCTCCCTCCCACCTTTTGAGAGAAGCCCTAGTAGCCCTAAACCCTAAACCCTAAACCCTAAACCCTAAACCCTAAACCCTAAACCCTAGGCATCATGCCTGACAATAGCAGCATGGCTGCCCAGACCGGCCGAGTCTCATCCTAGGCACCTTTGGGAGCTCTAATCCTTGTTTGGGAGCTATAGTCCTTAACGCTATACACCAAAAAGGGATTGCAGACCCTCATAAACCCTACTAGGGCCTTAAGCCCCAAACCCTAAACCCTAGACCCTTTACCCTAAACCCTGCAGAAGAAGAGTGGGGCTCAAGGACTTTTGGTAAGGACCCCCAAAAACCAACTCACCCTGAACCCGAAACCCAAGCCCTCCTACGCCCCCCCGTCCAGTTCAGGGTTTAGGGTTTAGGGTTCTTGGGCTTAGGGTGCAGAGACTCTGCAAAACCATCTAGCTTAGGCTTGAGGAGTTTGGGGATTGTTTTTGGGGTTTAAAGGTTTTTACCTACAGTTGCTGACAGGGTTCGTGGAGTGTAGGGTGCAAGTAGGCTGCAGTGCGTAACCCCGGCGACTTTTTGACTCGATGTCTTGACTCTAGTCAGGTGAAGGGTTTCGGAGAATCTAAAATCTAAAGCACGAAAGCTGTCAGACCTATTGGGGACACGAACAGGCACTCAGGCCAGCGTTTTGCCGCAGCGCGGGGAGCGGTGTAGGTCGTGACAGCACTAAGCCATAAACCCTAAACCCTAAACCCTATAAACCGCACCTACTGCAAGTCCGCGAGGAGTCCTTTCGATGCTCCGACTTCAGCCCAGTTACAGCAGCTTGATCAGCAGAAATCGCTGGGGGCCACGCCCCATCCAATCTGATGAGATTTCGAAGCCATTCTTCTGATAGAAGCGCAGCGGTTGCCAGTCGTCCCGCTGCACCTAGGTTCCCCAGCAACTCCATAATAATAAAGGTACCCCTAAACCCTAAACCCTAAACCCTAAACCCTGCACCCTAAATCCTAAACCCTACACCCTAAACCCTAAACCCCAAACCCTACAACCCAAACCCTAAACCCCAAACCCTAAACCCCCCCCCCCCCCCAAAAAAAAAAAAAGGGGGGGAACAACGGCTACTGCTGAAGAAACCTAAACCCTAAATCCCAAACCCTAAACCCCAAACCCTAAACCACCCAAAACAAAAAAGGGAACAACGGCTACTACTACTACTGAAGAAACCAAGGCGCGTGCAAGGCAAGTAGACGCGTGCCCCAGGACCGGGCCCTCTCTTCGACCTCCCGCAGCATATGAGCTGCTAAGCCAGAGCCGCGCCACTCCTTGGATTCCAGGGTTTAGGGTTTAGGGTTTAGGGTTAGGGTTCAGGGTTCAGGGTTCAGGGTTTAGGGTTTAGGGTTTAGGGTTCAGGATGTAGTAAGTTTAGGGTTTAGGGCGTTTAGGGCTTAGAAAGGGGCACCCGAGGGAATTGTTGCAAGGGAACACGGGCCGTCTAGGTCCTAGACTCGCTCACTAGCCCAGGAACCACCTTTTTATGAAAACTGGCTGTTGGGGGATGTTTCCCTCTTATACTAATAGTCCTTGATATGGATTATACTATAATTCCATTAAGGACTGTTCGTATATGGGGGAACATGCCAAAATTGGTTGCTTCATTCCGCGGCAGCCTCGAACAAAAAAAGGGCAAAAGGGTACCACTGGGCTACAAAGCTCGGGTGCAACGGCAAACTGCTCCAAGTAGGCTACAGGTTCCAGGCCATTGCCTCCCAAGACGGATGCCAACGGCACTGTGCGCACCACTCTCTCCACACCGTCCTCGTTTCGGATTAGGGTTTAGGGTAGGGTTTAGGGCAAGGGTTGTTTAGGGTTTACGGTTTCTAAGGCTCAGGGTTTAGCATTTTGGGTTTTGACGGTCCTCTCCGCAAAGATGGCAGGCATCGGGTAGCCACTTCACACGAAGCGCCAGGGTTCCGACCAGCTGATCTTCCGGCGAGTTCTCATGGACAGCAAGGAGAACCTTAGAGTTTAGGGTTTAGGGTTTAGTAAGTTTAGGGTTTAGGGTTTTAGATGTCCAGTAAACTTGGGGATACTATAGTGACTCTAATATACCCCTTAAAGAGGTTATAGAGGCCATCTACTCTACTACTAAGGAACGCCACCAAAGGAGTCCATCATCTCATCGCACGCGCTCACCACGTCGTCTTCGCTCCCGGGCAGCGCCCGCAGATCCTCGGGATCGAGCGGTGGAGGTGCGTTGGGAAGTCCTGGAATCAGGCCATCGCTGCGCCTCTTTAGGGTTTATAGGGTTTAGGGTTTAGGGTTTAGGGTTTTTAGGGTTTAGGGTTTAGGGTTTAGGGCTGCGCCTCCAGTCCAAGAAAGCTTGTGGGAACTCCAGAATCTGCAGCGCAGCGGGGATTGTGGAAAACTGGCCGGCGAACAGGTAAGCGTCCCAGACGCTGGAGAGCGACGTCGCCGGACGCAAGGCGATGTGCTGCAAAAAGCCCATACCACTTTCACCCTCCGGGTTGGGCAAATTCTGCACCGGCGCCTAGCCAACAGAATTATATTCTAATAAGGGCACTCCTTTTTCGGGTGGGTTACTTTATACAAGGCGAACCTTGAAGCAAACAAAAAAAGGAAAAGTGTACCACGGGGCTACCAGGGCCTCTTTGGCCTTAGGGCGCGGCGGACTCCTTCTGAGCCAGCCACGCAAGGAAGGCATACGCCCACGAGGGGGAATACCTGGAGGTTCATGACTAGGGCACTTAAGGGGCTTATAAGTGGGTTAAAGGTACAGCTATGATTGGATAGTTTAGTAAGTAAAAGTACCATGAACCTCCAAGTACCCAGGAGAGTCCGACTCCAGGCAAAGGCCGCAAGGAAGCCGAAGGAAGTTGCAAACTGCAGCCAGCCTGCCCTAAGGCTCCAAGGACCCTCCTACAGAGGGGCGGGTGCCTCCTAGAAAGGGTAGTTCTGGGGTCTATATAATCTTGGGATTTTGAGCCAGCCTGGTATATCAAAGGATAAGGAGGGCTCCATGGAAGAGCCGACAGACCACCTGGGAACCGCCAGCCGCCGTTTTTCAATGAGATGTGGCCCCCATCGCGGTCTGCAAGAGTGTGGGGCCAGCCTGGCAAGCTGCCTAGGCTCACCAAGAAGCTGGCCCTTAGGGTTTAGGGTTTCTATAGGGTTTAGGGCTTAGGGTTTGGGGTTTAGGGGTAGGGTACATGCACCTCAAAGGAACACTGGGGCTCTGAAGTTTGAAGTGCTTGCCTGCCATCTGGCCACTTTGGGTCTCATGTACTTTTGAGGCTTTCGGGACACGTAAACGAATGAGAGTGAACTTTCTGGGCTCACAGGAGTTGAGAAGCAAGCCTACACGCCAACAAAGGAAAAACCCAAATTGGAGTAGCCCCTATCTAAATTCTAAACCCTCTATCCTAAAAGCACAAGATGCACCCTAGACCCTGAAGAAACCCTGAACCCTAAACCTAAACCCTAAACCCTAAACCCTAGAAGGACGCCGTACCCATGGGGATCCCAGCAGCCTGGCGCTCGAGTGCCGCGGTGCAGCCATGGCTTGGACGTCCATGGCCAGGAAATTCTGTGGGGTTTAGGGTTTAGGGTTTGGGGTTTGGGGTTTGGGGTTTAGAGGGGTGGAGGGTTGAGGGTGGAGAGGGTTTAGGGGTTTGGGGGTTAAGGGTTTGAGGGTTTGAGGGTTTACGGGTTTGGGGATTGAGGGTTTGAGGGTTGAGGGTTGAGGGTTTATGGTTCAGGGTTGACGGTTTGAGGGCTAAGGGTTTGAGGGTTGAGGGTTTGAGAACTACTCCCCCGAGCCCAAAGTATGGTTGCACCCTCAAAAAAGACTGATTTGTGCCTTATTTCGGCTGGAGGGGGCACTAAAAAAGGGAGAACCCTGCGGGTCTTGCGGATCCGTGCACCCTGCTGGAGAGTAGGTATGATGGGTTTAGGGTTTAGGGTTTAGGGTTCAGGGTTCAGGGTTCAGGGCTTAGATGGGTTTAGGGTTTCTGGTGCAGGGTTTAGGCTTCAGGCGGAAACTCCACTAACCACAAGCCTTCTGAACTTCTCTCAAATCTGAATGAAGGTATTGGCTCATGATACAGTGAAGTTGACCAGGTTGGGAACCTTCACAGAACTGCATAGAAGCAACTAAGCCCTAAGCCCTATAAGCCCTAAGCCCTAAGCCCTAAACCCTAAACCCTAAACCCCAAACCCCAAACCCCAAACCCCAAACCCCAAACCCCAAACCCCAAACCCTAAACCCTAAACCCTAAACCCTAAACCCTAAACCCCAAGCCCCAACCCGACCACCCACCCTCAGAGCTCGCTTCTCGGCCTTCAGGAAGTAATGCAGCTCGAGCTGAGGGGGACAACTGGGCACCTCAGCAGGGAGAGCTTCGTTTCGGGTTTAGGGTTTAGGGTTTAGGGTTTAGGGTTTAGGGTTTAGGGTTTAGGGTTTAGGGTTTAGGGTTTAGGGTTTAGGGTTTAGGGTTTAGGGTTTAGGGTTTAGGGTTTAGGGTTTAGGGTTTAGGGTTTAGGGGTTTTTTAAAGATATTTGGTACTGCTTGCGTTTTTCCTATGTATGTATACTTCCATGACATCTTAAGTTATATACATATATATAGGGTATTGTTATTGGGTTTACGGGGTTGTTAGCAGTTGTAGGGCTTATAGGGTTGATGGGGTTTGTGGAGTTGACAGGGTTTACGGGTTTGGGGAAAATTTTGGGGTTTATAAGGTTCATTGGGTTTACAGGGTGTGTGGAGTTTAAAGGGTTTGTAGGGTTAAGGATTTAGGATTTAGGGTTTACAGGGTTTGGGATTTGAGCTTGGGGCTTAGGATTTGAGATGAAGGGGGTTCTACTACGGTATCCCAGAAGGACACCGTAGTATATACACTCACCAAAATCTTTCAGGAACCCGAAACCCTAAACCCTAAATACTAAACCCTAAACCCCAAATCCTAAACCCTAAATACACCCACCAATGACAGCAGTATGAGCCCTGTCTCATATAGGGAGTTCTCTAAATGGAGGTCCCCTTTGGTGTCCTTGTCTTACGGCTGCCGTACTAGACAGGGAATCCTTTAGGGTTTAGGGTTTAGGGTTTAGGGTTTAGGGTTTAGGGTGTAGGGTTTAGGGTTTAGGGTTTGTGAGGTTAACCCCACGAGAGGCCTTGTTGGGAGGCAATATTTTGTGCTGAAGGGGGGAGTAGTTGCAGCGGCTGTAGAGTAGGATCCCAGGATATCGAGACCCTCCAAGTATGCACCGAAATGACTATCCCTAAACCCAAAAAACCCAAAACAAAAACCCAAAAAACAAAAAAAAACCCACAAAACCCAAAACCCAAAACCCAAAACCCTAAACCCTAAACCCTACATGGCTTGCAGAGCTCACGGGGTCCATTGGCTGCCTTATCACCCTTCAAACTGCCGGTGAAGCCAACGGCCACCCCAGGCACTCTTCTAAGACACTGGCTCCCCACAACGCCGAGCAGAGTCAGCCAGACAATAGCCCTAAACCCTAAACCCTAAACCCTAAACCCTAAACTCTAAACCCCGATCCATAAAACCTTTGACCACCAAGCCCTGCGGGTGAGGCCTTCAGCTTGAGGCAGCCTTCCAAGGGACCCTCGTTCACCTGCCAGGTATGGTCTATAGGCCTTTTAGAGTTGATTCAGGGTTATTCGGGCTTTTGGGGTTTAGGGTCTTGAGGGCTTTTTAGGGTTTTGGGGTTTAGGACCCTAAGCTGATAAGGGTTTGAGGTCTCTAAACCCTAAACCCTAAACCCCAAACCCTACATCTTAAACCCGAAACCCTAAACCCTAAACCCTAAACCCTAAACCCTAAACCCTAAACCCTAAACCCTAAGCCCTGAACTCCTCCATGGTCTACTTTCGGGCAAGTCCCCCACAAGCCATCAGCCACCCGAAGGCAACGTAAAGGGTTAAGGGTTTAGGGTTTAGGGCTTTAGGGTTTAGGGAGTGGAGCAAGGATGCAAGGGTTCCGAGTTTCGAGGCCCTAAACCCTATCAACCCTAAGCAAACCCGAATCAAACCCCAGCTAAACCCTAGCTACACCGCAATAGAATCCTAAACCCTGACCTCTTAAAAGGGTTTACTACTTACTACTATTTGCTTAAGCACCTCCCGACAAAATAAACTTAACGTTCAATTGAGCTGAGGGTTTAGGGTTTAGGGTTTAGGGTTTAGGGTCTAGAAGGGGTTCAGGGTGTAGGGGGACTCCCAACCAGAAACGATAAGGGCGTCATGGGTTTCTTCGGGCCTCAAGGCTTTAGGGGTTTTTCCCTAAACCCTAAACCCTAAACCCTAAACCCTAAACCCTAAACCCTAAACCCTAAACCCTAAACCCTAAGAACCCTGAACCCTAAACTCAGGTTTTTGTTTAGGCTTGGGCCTTCTTGCTGTAGAGCTCACGCTGGCGTTTGCTGCGTGGGCCCTGGCGCGGAGCGGAGGTGCACGATCCTAAGAAGCCGAAAGCCTAGAACCCAAAAGCCCTAAACCCTGTAACCCTAAACCCCAAAGCCCTCAAACCCTGAACCCCTTCTAGACCCTAAAACCCTAAAGCCCCAAAACCCTAAAACCCTTGTTTTGGTTTAACGGGTCTATAAGGGAAGTTTAGGGTTTATGGTGAAAGAGTGCACTGCTCTCTGCGTAGCTGGCTTTGTCAGGGACCATACGCTGGCAAAAAAAGCAAAGATGGGCCGTCTGAGTGGCTCAAGTTTAGGGTTTCAAGGTGTAGTAGCTCAAGGCCACAGGTTCCACGTGATGCCGTGGAGGCTCCACCCTTTGCCTAAACCCTAGACCCTAAACCCTACAACTTAAACCCTAACCCTAAACCCTAAACCCTAAACCCTAAACCCTAAACCCTAAACCCTAAACCCTAAACCCTATGCCCAAATTAAAGGCTGTGGACGATGCATAGTTGGTATCGGCCGCTAGCCCTTTTCACTTGAGGTTGCTCCCCCGCTCATGAACTTGGCTGAGTTCTGAAGCCCTCTTAAAAGTTTAACCTATAACCCTAAACCCTAAACCCTAAACCCTAAACCCTAAACCCTAAACTATAGGCTCCTTAGTGTAGTTTCTTCAACGACCCAAGAGAATAAAGTCCTAAGAGCCAGCCAGGGGGTTGCGAGGAATTTAGGTTTAGGAAGCCCTCTAGGCCTCTAGATGCATCCAGATGCCCAAATGTCAAACTGCTACGCAGGCAGGTCCTTAAAGAGTGCAGCGCAGTCTCCTTGCCCATTAGACATGTACGGAAAAGAACCACCCCCACCCCCACCCACCCCGGAAAAAAAAGAGGGTAGTTCCACCTAAAGCCCGAACTCCATCCCCGCCAGTTGACCGCCTTGGTTGTCTCCTTGCCCTCAGGGAACACCATGAGCCTCAACTCCTTGCACAGGTTGAGGGTTTGGAGGTTTACGGGTTTATAAGGGTATTGGGTTTACGCGTTTTAGGATTTAGAGTTTCGGGGTTTAGGGTTTAGGGTTTAGGTTTGCTTAGAGGGTATAAGCTTGCCCTAAAGCCCCCAAAAGCCCCTTAGCGCAGCCTGAGCCCAAAGAACAAAAGCCCATGATCTTTAGCACTAAACCCTAAACCCTAAACCCCAAACCCCAAACCCTAAACCCTAAACCCTAAACCCTAAACCCTAAACCCTAAACCCTCATGAGCCGCAAAGGTGACCAATTGGATCTCCTCTGGTGTTCACCATCATCCCTTGTGCCAGGGAATATGAAGATTCATGCTGCCGCCACAGTGTTGCCAGCTTGGGTTCAGGGCTCATGGCCTAGGGCTTGAGGTTTAGGGTTTAGGGTTTAGGGTTTAGGGCTAGTTACAGTTTACCAGCCTCATATCCGCAAAGGCAAGCGCCAATTTCTGTGTTGAGGTCTGGCCCCCGTGGCTGTCGACAGCCTGTCCGGACTCCGGGCCGGTCTCGCCTCGACAACGCCTGGGGCCTGGGGCCCCTAAACTCTGAACCCTACTTGGAGATTCATGGTGTGTACTTATAACCATAGTAGGGCACTTAAGGGGCTTACAAGTGGGTTGTAGGTACAGGCATCATTGGTTAATACGTACCATGAACCTCCAAGTATACACTGAACCCTAAACCCGAAACCCTATATTAAGCTTTCTGTGGCAGCGCCATTGCAGCATAACTGTTGTATTATCAAGTATAAGCAAATCTGATTTTTTAATGTGAGACTCGCTTGTCTCGCTCTTTGGCAGAGCGAGTCGTGCTATGTGACTTGGGGCTCCGACTTCTGCCCTACCCCGAACTTCCTTACTAATAGTCTCCTCAGCCCAAATGAAGGTTCCCCAAGGGGCGGGATTTCAGCCTGTGGAAGGGTTTAGGGTTTAGGGTTTAGGGTTTAGGGTTTAGGGTTTCGGGTTTCGGGTATGCTCTACCAACTAGCTACTTGTGAGGGCCCGCAAAAGTGGTGAAGCTGGGGAGATACCTTCTGCGGTCTCAGAAACCCTAAACCCTAAACCCTAAACCCTAAACCCTAAACCCTAAACCCTAAACCCTGAACCCTAAACCCTAAACCCCAAACCCTTTTTGGTGTCTCGGTCTCAGGGTCATAGGTGGGCACCTCCAAGCCGGCAGCGTTGAAAGGTGGAGACACCAGCGCCCTGCACACACGCTTGCGCTACAAGGGAAGGACTTAGGGTTTAGGGTTTAGAGCTACAAAGCAATGTTAGGGTTTAGGGTTTAGGGTTTAGGGTTTAGGGTTTAGGGTTTAGGGCTACAAGGGTAGTTATAGGGAGGGTGCCCCCCCAAACCACAAAGCTCCAAAAACAGCTTTCGTTCAGGGTTGATGGCTCCGGGTTTACAGTCGCACTTATAATGCTAAGTACTCTGAACCTCCAACCCTAAACCCTAAATCCTAAACCCTGAACCCTAAACCCTAAACCCTAAACCCTAAACCCCACTGCGGATTCCCATGGTTGGACGGCTTGGGGTCGCAGCCTGGGTTCGGGTTTCGGGTTTGGGGTTCAGGGTTTCCCCCCCTCTGCCCCCCCAAATCCCTAAACCCTAAACCCTAAACCCTAAACCCTAAACCCTCAACCCTCAAACCTCAAACCTTAAACCCCAACCCTCCACCCCAACTGTATCGACCTTAGCGGCTTTTTTCGGCGCTCTGGCGGACCCCTGAGATTGACCGATCCTTGCCTAGTACCCTCCCACCAAGACTCCCAGTTGCAGAGCTCCGAATTGTGAGTACCTGTTCTAGCTATGATAGGGTTCAGGGTTCAGGGTTCAGGGTTCAGGGTTCAGGGTTCAGGGTTCAGGGTTCAGGGTTCAGGGTTCAGGGTTTAGGGTTTAGGGTTTAGGGTTTAGGGTTTAGGGTTTGGGGATATTTCGTTCTCACACTAGCTGTGTTGGCAGGAAGGGCACTACGCCCGGCAGCCTCGCAATCCCTGGCGGTCAGGTCTCTTGCGCATCCATCGCGTGGGGGTGGGGGTTTAAGCCCTTCCGAAGCAAATGCCACAAAGACAAAAAGTTCAGGTTTTCAGACCAGATTTGAGAAGAGCTGTGGATTCCAAGGTCAAGGGTCAGGGCCCTAAACCCGAAACCCTAAACCCTGAACCCTGAACCCTAAATCCTAAACCCTAAAAGTATAGTTCAGGGCGCCATGGTTTAGGGCCTAGGGTTTAGGGTTTAGGGTGCAACCTAAGTTCAGAATGCTACTGCGAGAGCCTCCAGCCCAGCCCCATGGAGGCCTCTAAACCTACATAAAACCCCAAACTACCAAGTCCGGTGTTCGAGAGCCCCTGAGGGGCGGCTGCGGGGGCGGGGGAGGGGGGGGGGTTTGGGTTCATGGGTGGTGGTGCAAGAAGGAAGCGCTACGAGAAAAGAATGTGGGTTATGCATTCAAACTTTCGGAAGGTCCCGCCCCACCACCGGCTAGAGTTGAATTCTCCCCTGACCACGCGGGCATCGACGAAATGCTCCTGCACGCGTGAAATGCTCAACTCGTCTCAGGACCAGCGAGGCCGGAAGTGACAGGTTACCCTAAACCCTAAACCCTAAACCCTAAAACCTGAACCCTAAACCTCATTGGGTCTCGGAGTTCATGTGGATGGCGCTTGAAATCGCTGGCGCGCCATCCATACAGGGGCTGCGTGACGAGCCCTCCCATCGTGCGGAAAATACCAGGTTGCCCCCCGTACACCTCCAGAACTATACTTCTGCACATGATCCTTTTAAAACAAAGCGAGCAAAGCGAAACATCTTAAACCCTAAGCCCTAGAAACCTTAAAAAAAAAAAAAAAAAAAAAAACAATATATATATATATATAAAATATATACATATGGGTATCTCCCTAAAAAGGGGTGCCCCTTTTATACCCCTCAAAAAAAGAAGCCACGTAAAGGGAGCCCCCAAGGGCAGCCCTATTCTCGGAAACCCCCCATATTGATTCTCGCATAATATGGAACCCTACACCCTAAACCCTAAGCCCTACACCCTAAACCCGAAACCCTAGACCCGAAACCCTGAACCCTAAACCTTGAAATCCCAAGATGGGTTCCGAAGCATTGGCTCCAACTTCAACCCTAAACCCTAAACCCTAAACCCTAAACCCTAAACCCTGAACCCTAAACCCCGAAATCCTGAACCCTAAACCTTGAAATCCCAAGATGGTTTCCGAAGCATTGGCTCCAACTTCGACCCTAAACCCTAAACCCTAAACCCTAAACCCTAAACCCTAAACCCTGAACCCTAAACCCCGAAATCCTGAACCCTAAACCTTGAAATCCCAAGATGGTTTCCGAAGCATTGGCTCCAACTTCGACCCTAAACCCTAAACCCTAAACCCTAAACCCTAAACCCTAAACCCTGAACCCTAAACCCCGAAATCCTGAACCCTAAACCTTGAAATCCCAAGATGGTTTCCGAAGCATTGGCTCCAACTTCGAAACTACACCGGGCGCGCTTCACCCCAGAGGTGGAGCCTCCCACATCTGGCCGAGGCCCTTTGTAGGGTTTAGGGTTTAGGGTTTAGGGTTTAGGGTTTAGGGTTTAGGGTTTAGGGTTTAGGGTTTAGGGTTTAGGGTTTAGGGTGAGTGGGTGATTGGGTTTGGTAAGGTCTGGGGCCAGGGTTCTAGGGTTCAGGGGGCTTCGGATTTGGGGTGTAAGGCTTAGGCTTTGAGAGTCAGGATCTGTTGAGCCCTAAGGCCTAGCTGCAAACCGAACAGCCATATAGGTCGTGATCGCCTAAGCCCTAAACCCTAAACCCTACACCCTAAACCCTATTCCCTAAACCTTCTTGGGTCTCATACGCCTCAGGGGCCATGGCCATTGGTGGCAATGCTTGAAGGCAAGAATTGCCAGATCTGTGCGGAAGGCTTCGGCAATGGGGCAATGAGGAACGTGAGGCTCTAAAATCCCATGACCCAAGAACCCTAAACCCCAGAACCCCCAAACCCCCAAATCCCAACACCCTGAACCCCTAACACTAAGCCCTTGACCTCTTCGTTCACATAGAGATCCTTAAGCTTAGCCCTGAGGTTCAACAAATGTGCACATCCCAAAACTGTGGTACCCCTACACCCTAAACCCCTAAACCCTTAACCCTAAACACTAGTGAAACCGCAAGCACTAGACTCCCTGACTGTCAACACCGAAGCCCAACCCCTAAACTTAAAACCTTCAGAAAGCCGCGACATAGTTCCAAAAAGGCGTCAACCCTAAACCCTGAACCCTAAACCCTAGACCCTAAACCCTAAACCCTTTGGAGTATGGCCTGAGGATCCTAAAGCCACAGGTAAGTCGTTCATGTGTAGGGTTCATGTGTAGGGTTTAGGGCTTAGGGCTTAGGGTTTGGGGTTTGGGGTTTGGGGTTTGGGGATTGGTGTGTGGGGTGTGGGGCTTAGGGATTGGGATGTAGCGCTTAGGGGTGTAGGGTTTGGTGTGCAGGGTTTTGGGTTTTGGGGTGTAGGGTTTATGCCCTGATCTCCCGCAGATACACATACAGGGAGGCGAGGGTAACCCTCCCTCCGGCACCCGGCCGTGGTTGGGTCTGGACAGATTTGGGTTTCTTTGCGTGTCAAGATGTACTCTTGGTTTGTTGGGGTACAGTGTTTAAGTTAACCCCTAAACCCTAAACTCTAAATCCTAGCCCCTGTTTTTGGTTTGGGGTCCAGGGTTTTGGAGTGGGAATTCTGGTTTTCCGCAATCAGTATGGGCTTCGAGGCTTCGGAGCATAGTTTGTCGTGCACGGCTTGTGTTCCTTAGCCCCCGTGAACCCGAAACCCTAGATTCTACAAAGCAGATAGTCTTCACTTGGGGGTTTACGCACCAAGGGCCAAATAGTAGGATTCCTTTACTGTAAGGACCCCAATTAGGTACCCCGAAACCCTAAACCCTAAACCCTAAACCCTAGACCCTAAAACCCCCCATTCTCGGAAGCCCCCTGACTTGGGGGAGAGAACTTCAGCGACTTGGTGCTTTGCCTATGTGGGGTGGAAAGATATCTAGCTAAAAGGGTCCGTGTACCTAACCTAGGGGTTTAGGGTTTAGGGCTTAGGGTTTAGGGTTTAGGGTTTAGGGCTAGGGCTATACTTCGGGTCAGAGGGCTTATTCTTAAGGATAAAACGTTAGGGCTCAGGGTGTGGGGTCTAGGGTGCAACAAGATTCCTTGCCGCATGACTTCGGGGCACAAGTCTAGACTGTTACGGGACAACCCTAAACCCTAAAACCTGAACTCCTAAACCCTAAACCCTAAACCCTAGACCCTAAACCCTAAACCCCCTTTAGTTGGGGTCCCACAAGCACCAGATCACCCAACCAGGGCGGCAGGCGCCTCCTAGGCAGATCTCAAAGAACCCCAGTCGGGGCTTTCCGGAACCCAGAGCCTCTCTGGACCCAAAACCCTAAACCCTAAAACCCTAAACCCTAAACCCTAAACCCTAATTACACCCTAAACCCTAAACCCTACACCCTAAACCCTAACACCCCCTCCTTGGCGATAATGGTCCCTATATTACCCTTCTCAGGGAAAATCGTTTCTATCTTCTAGGGGGGGTTCTTAAGAAAATGAGGTGTGATTCTCTCGTTGCTTGGGCTTAGAGGTTAGGGTTTGGGATTTCATTGATGGTGAGGTCTGCAACTTAGTTCTTCGCTTGGGCTACGGGCTTAGGGCTTAAACCCTAAACCCTAGACCCTAAACCCTAAACCCCAAACCCTAAACCCTAAAGGCTTAGGGCGCTTAGGGCTTAGGGCGCATAGGGCTTAGGGCTTTTCTTGGGGCACAACCTCTACAGGTTCCTGCTTCAGGGTGTAGGGTTTAGGGTTTTGGTTTAGGGTTTAGGGTTTAGGGTTTAGGGTTTAGGGTTTAGGGTTTAGGGTTTAGGGTTTAGGGTTTAGGGTTTAGGGTTTAGGGTTTAGGGTTTAGGGTTTAGGGTTTAGGGTTTAGGGTTTCTGCAATGAAGCTTCCTGCAACTGTGGTCCGCGGCTTGACAGGTTCCACGTCTTCGGATCCAAAGCTACTCAGGAGTTGATCTAGGGCCCCGGCTTATGGTTTAGGGTTTAGGGTTTAGGGTTTAATTAGGGTTTAGGGTTTAGGGTTTAGGGTTTAGGGTTGAGGGATTAGAGGGCCCCTTAAACCCTAAACCCTTGTCTTCGCAG